GAATAGAATAGAATAGAATAGAATAGAATAGAATAGAATAGAATAGAATAGAATAGAATAGAATAGAATCATAGGGCTGGAAGGGATCTTCTAGTCCAACTCCCTGTCCAAGACAGAAGGCCTTACACTATCTTTGACAACTGGTTGTCCAGTATTTTTCCTGAAAACCTCCAACAACAGAGCACCCCTAATTCCAGGAGGCTAGCTGTTCCATTGATTAATAATTGTTCTTGCTATCAGAAAATTTTTCTTCAGTTCCAGGTTGAATCTCTCTTTGATAAGTTTCCACCCTTTGCTTCTTTTCCTATCCTCAGGTACTTTGGCAAATAAATCAACCCCCTCTTCCAAATTGCATCCAGTTTAGTTCCTTACTTCTAGTATTGAAAAGGTGACTAGTGTAAGAGTTTTTAAATCTAAAACTAACTCAACTAATCACAACCAATGTCTCTGAACAAAAAGGGCTACTTTTTATTAGAATGGACACTCCAGCCAAAATGTCTAAAAGAAATCAAGATAAACCCTGTGGAAGATAATCAAACCTAGGGCAGGATAAGGAGTAAAAGTTGAAATTAGAAGGAAATTTAAGCAGAATATTAGGAGGAATTCCTTGCAGTAAAACTGTTCAGCAATGGAACAATCTCATGGTGAGCTCTTCGTTGGTAGTGGTTATCAGAAGAGAACTAGATAGCAATCAGTGAAATATGGTGTAATGAAGGTCTGCTTTACAGGAGTTGGTCACAATTTATTATCGATAAAGTTTATAAAGTTAATGGAATCAACACCATCATTTTTATAATTCAATGCCTTATAGTGAAATTTCTGAATATAGTACATAACATGTTCCCTGACGATATTCTTGTAGTTATTAAGGCAAGTTGTTTGTCCTGTCAATACTTAAGTCATTGAGATCAGCTTGGTAAACAATAGGAAATAGTCTGCTAAGAAATAGGCACTGGACCATATTGCAAATATATGTTCTTGATTTGCAGTCAAATATTCTGAACTCTTATTAAAATCAGATAATTATATTAACATTACCATAGTTGTGTTTTGCAAGTAAGAACACAACTGCCAAGCCCAGCTATATAAAGTATTTAGGCAGGAAAAGTAGGATAACAGGTATAATTAGCTCTTGCATATAGTTATGAGATCTTATAAATTTAATTTGTTTTCTATCACATGATTTTTTTGCAAGCATCAACATGTTAATCATGGTGAAATTTGTGAGCAAGTCATGAATGGACTGTTGCTAAGCTCTATTACAAGACTGTTCCTGGCTTATAAATTGTAGTAAACTTTAAGGAATGTTTTACATATCCACTAATGAAGCAACATTGGCTCAGGTTATTCAACACACGAAGCCATAATACAGGTAGACTTCTACACAGAAATGAAATAGAGCCTCTACGTTACAGTTATGATAGTTGCTCATGTGCCTGATTGGATTTTACAACTTTTTGTGGTGGTTGTTAAGCAAATGCTACAGTTGTAAAGCAAACATCATTGTTAAGTGAACAAATCATATTTGTGAATCATTGCTATGGGATTGGGTTGTACATATATCTAATGGCGTGAACATGTCACTCATCATCGGAAATGGTAATGTTGACTTGATATGTGGAATTACATTCAGGCTTCCAGCTATTTTAAAACCTTGTAACATATTTTCTGCAGACTTTATATTTAAACCACAACATTCAGACAGCCGAATGCAGCTTTTCATACATATGGGGTAAAATTATAGGATTAACTGGGGTGATGGCATTTAAGTAAATAATATCTAATCAATGCTATGCATTAAATTATTGTACTACTTAGATTTTCAACTTAAGACTGTGCTTATTTTTAAGTGCATTTTTAATTTGCAACCTTTCAATACAAATAGTCCTCCAATTATGACTACAATTGAGCCCAAAATGTCTATTGCTAAGTGAGATAGTTGTTTAAATTTTCCTCATTTTACATTTTTTCTTGCCACCGCTGTTAAGTGAATTACTGCAATTGTTCAGGTAGCAAAATTGTTGTTTTGCTTGTCAGAAGATAATAAAAGGTGGTCAAATGAGCCTGGGACACAGCAACTATCATAAATATGAGTCAATTGCCACATGCCTGATTTTTGATCATATGACCATAGGGATGCTGCAATTGTAGTAAGTATGAAAAATGTTCACAAGCACTTTTTCAGCGCTGTTGTAAGTTGAGGACTACCTGTATATGAATAGACTGGCAGCACTCTTTTATGTTAAGCATCCATTTGATAAGCAGAAATGCAACAACATGTTTTTTGCAGTGTGAAGATGCTAGTTAGTAAAGAGTTTCATGTCCCACTGAATTTTTGATAGACACACCCCTAGTAGTAATGCTGCTAGATTAAAGGATTGTGTGTCAAGGTTATAAAGTGTTATGTATCCACCTATGTGAAAGAGAAGCAAATGATCAGCTTCTGATAACATAAGGTTTCTATGAACCTGCTGAAAAAATAAGAGTGATTAAACTCTGATACTACACAAACTAGGAGACATAATTGGTTTTCATACAGACAGTTGTTGATCCTACCATCCTGACATTGATGTTAACACTCTTCATGGGAGGAGGATAAAAGAAAGAGATTCCTGAAAAGTAAAACGTTAAAATGTAAGGTGATAACATTCATTCTTCCAAAAAATTCCTTAAATCAGTAGATTAGCCTCACATTTCTGAGGAGGATCATTAATTAATATGCAGACTGTTTGTTGAAAGGGTCACTGGTTCCAGTAACCACAGGTTAGCTCTGCTGATTGGGAATTAGGAGAATATCTAAAGCAGGCTTGTCCAACCTGCGGCCCAAGGGCCGCATGTGGCCCAGGTCACCTTGTAATGCGGCCCAGTGCCCACCCCAACCTTCGTGCCAGAGCCAGCGAGGAGGAGGAGAAGCAGGCGCGAGGCAGGGCGAGGCGAGCCCCAGGCCAAGCAGCAACAGAAAAAGCAGGCGCCGTTAGAGCGCCACCTCCTGCTGTTGCCACCACCGCCATCGCCGCTGCTTCTGCCCCTGCCGCTTCTGCCCCCGCTGCCACTTCTGCCCCTGCCATCGCTGCTGCCACTGCCCCCGCCGCTGCTTCTGCCCCCCACTGCTTCTGCTGCTTCTGCCTTCCAGTCCTGCCTCATCCAGCTGGGCCATTTGCAGGAGGAGAGGTAGGCGCGAGGCGGGCGAGCTTTCTCCCCCCCCCCCGCAAAATTTGGCCGGAAAATAAACCATGATAAAAAAACCGTGATAAAAAAACTGTGATAAAAAGTAAATAATTTTTAATAAATAATTAATAATAAAAACATCTCACTAACTTCATTTCCAAATAAATTTAATATGTTAACTATGTTTTCTATGGTTTTTTTGGATGATCAGGTATTGTTACTGTTATTTTATTTTATGTGCGGCCCAAACCAAATTTTCATCTTCTAATGTGGCCCAGGGAAGGTGAAAGGTTGGACACCCCTGATCTAAAGGATGTGAAATTGGAGACAGTGTAATATATGTACTTTTAATGAAAAGAAATATAGAGACTCTTTTAATTAGAAGATAATTGGAAAATATATTATTATATTTAGGGTTCCAGGACTCTCCTGCTCTAAGTAAATGTAACCATGCAGTTAAAAAAAAACCTAAATGCCTTCCCACAACTAATACATTAATATCTTAACTATACAGTCTATAAAAATAGAAAGCAATATGTTCACAGACCACCTGAGGCAATATTTTTTATTATTCCGTTGAAACTTTGAGAGTCTCGCCATTTTTTTTTTTTTGGTCCTGAAGATCCCAGCTTGTACAGTCAGCAACATCAAGTGCTCTTGAGAAATTGAATTATTTGAAGTGACTGGTGAAAAAAAAAAGTGTTTTAGAAGTTCCTCCATTTGTTTTCTTTAAAACATGCAGCCAGGAGAAAACAAGATGCCAGAGACAAGACAATTCTTTCATTTATTTTCACAGAAATAAGCTTTTTTCATATATTATTGTTGGGAGGCGGGGTCGGAGGTTGAGTGAGAAGGGTGTATGTATTAAAGAGAGTTTAAAAAAATTATCATAAAAACCAGAGACAGATGACAATGGCTTGCACTTGTTTCTATTTTTTATTAATCCATTAATTCTAATATAGGAAAAGGAATTTTACATATCATATGCTGTATACTAAGCAGCCACAAAGAAGATTCTGTAAAATAATTTAGATGTATTCAATAAATACAATATAATAGCAGCCTTCTACAATGCAGGCTACATACAGATTTCCTCCGGCTTGAAGTACCCTGGTCTTTAGTACACCTGCCGGAGCAGACTTGCTCCAAAAAGTGTTTTAAAGAGACATATCTATAAGATACATATAAAAGAGGGTCTAAAATTAGAAAGAATTCCCCCAGCCCAAGAATTTTTACCATGGTCTCCACATATCCAATGAAGCCATGTTAACACCATTATGTGCGAAATGAGGCTGCAAAATCTCCCTGGGATGTGGCAACTCATACCGATTACATCGTGATGACGGTTGTGGCTGAAATGACTTTTTCAATCCCAGTTTGACTTCAGTTGGATACATCTGATCCTGAGATTGGCTAGACCCTGTTGTATTTCCCTTGCCATTCACTGGAGTGGAAGGGTTCAGGTCCTTCTTGCAAGTCTCGTCATTGGATTTGGGTAAGGATTTCAACAGATGGTTCAGTAACCGTGCTCCAAGTGTCTTGTCCATCCAGTTACAGGTCAGGAGGAGGTTGTGAACTTCATGCATGCACTGAATATATCCAGTGCTGTACCTCTGCCGAGCTTCAAGACCCATTTTAGAATCTGCTAAATGAGGAAGAGATATGCTTTCAATCACTTAATGTATAAAAACTCAAATCTGTTGGACTGACTCTTTTCTCATAATAGTAGGTACTATTCTGATTTTAAGTTCCTGTTTTGAATCATCTATTGATAAAAACTAGATTATAATTATTCCTTTAGCTTAATGCAAAGAACTTGTAGAACTTTTGGTACTCTCTGAGCTATTTGTTTACAGATGTTTCACTACCCACTGATGATGTTACCTACGTTGGGTAATGATATGTCTGTAAGCAAACAACTAAGCTCAGAGAGTAGCAAGGACTGCACAATTCAACACTGAGCTCCATTGTATTGTCTTCTATTGAAAACACCTATGAAGGTATTAAAAAACATTCTAGACCTAGTATAAGAAAATATTTTTGTGCAAGGGAAAGTTCAGTTACTTCTCCAGATAGCACATATACACCTTTTGAATAGAGCAAGAACATTCTAACATATATTGCATAAACTTGACTGATTGTGAATAGAAAATGATCTCAGTAGGCACTGTCAGGCATGTAAGAATACCAACTGATAAGGAGAAAAGAGTTACAAGATAAAGACTTGATCTATGGGTGCCCATTATACCAGACCCTTTTCAAACATTCAGAATTTCCCTTCCCCCAAATTTCTAAACTACTTTTACAAGATGAATGGAGGAATTACATTAATTATACATATCATTGATACAGGGGACGTAGAATAACCTAGAAAAGACTTTATTGGCTACCAAGGAGAGACAAATTGAAACTAAGAGTGATTGAATGTTTTGATATCCAAGCCATGTTTGAAATTCAGTTCTGTGCAGACATATGACAAGTGAAATTAGTTACTAAATTCAATAGCTATCCAATGCCTTCAATTTTCTAGAAAGACTAAGACCCCATATGTCTTTCTGAACAAAAGCTTTTGGCAAATGTCACTGGAAAAAAAATAGCATTAACTACCTCCAAGGCTGTTCCTTTTCAACAAATGCCCTTCAGAACACACAGGGCCCTGCCACGTTCCAAAGATTTATACATACAATCCTGGCAAGGGAAAATACAGTATATGAAGCCTACATTGATGACCTACTGATCTTCTTTCGGGGCAGCTTACTACCAGAAATGTAGATTACTCTTGTTTTTAGAGCACAATTAAAATGTGGTTTTTCATATTTTATGTCTTAGAAGATATAAGATTGTGCTATCCCAAATAGTGGTGGATCAAATTGTTTGACTGTAATTGTATAAATGGATTTTAGTTTGTTATATTAATGCTACAATAAAGTAAAGCTCCTTAGAGCTTCAGAAAGGCATATACTTTGTAGTAATAAACCAATGAAGTTACATGTAGTTTAACTTGAGAAGAACTCCCAGGCACATAGATAAAATTATTTAATTTATATAAAGGTGCTTAGAATAAAACTGCCCAAGTGTTGCCTAGAATATCAAGTGAATATTTATGGTTTCTAGTAGGAAATGGGAGTTCCATAAATTCAAACTAAGGCATTCACAAACTAAGAAAAATCTTTGCTAGGCTAACTGGATATTCCATCTGGTTATTTCACTCAGGCTTATATACTTACTGATCAACCTGAAAACAAGGACCAAAAGAGATAGGCAGATTCCAAAATTTCAAAAAGTGCCTGAAGATTTAAGAGTTCTTACATCAGAGCCCTATTCTTAAGGGGCCTGATTCTTACTGAATTTTCTATCTAGGAGTAGCCCCTTCTGATTTAGATAGAAGGCAGTGTCAATACAAATGCATAAGGAAGGAGACTGTCCTTGTAGTTTATTCACCAAAGAAGCTTACACCCTGCAGCATGGTAGAGTTAAAGGTACAGCATGTATGGAAGAGAGAAAACATATACTACATTAAGCAAAGCAATTCAAACATAGCATCTTTAGCTGTGACTAGAAGGGGATTTGAAAGAGAAGGAACTGTTCTTTCTCCCAGAACCATGGTGCCAGCAGGAAGTCTGTCTTGCAGTCTGATGACAGCCAACAGCTCCAAGGAACTAAAAGGCTTATGGCAACCAAAATCAAGACTATGCCAAGGCAGGAGGGGGCAAGTAATTCAAGGACCCTTGCAGGAGGCACAGATTGGGCCTCAGCCCACGCTGAAGTACAGAAAATTAAAGGACCCAGAAAGGGTTAATGAACTCATGAAACAAAGGCTAAAGCATATGGGTAATCTGGCTGAAAGAGTAGCAGGCATTGTGCTGGTAAAACAACATTATGAAATTAACTCTGAAGAACACACTGTTTTCCCTGAACAATGAGAAAAGGGGGGAAATCAGGAAAGTTTGTATTTGAGAATCTTGAACCCAATAAAATTTGAAAACTATTTGTGTGCACATCTTTGGTCATTTCCCAAACAACCTTGATGTTATGTCATCATATTATACAATGTACAACTTCCCTGAAGCTAAATATATACATACTTTGTTTCTTCTTTCTCTCCCTCTCCCTCTACCGCTCTCATTCCTGCTTCATTATTTCGTTGATTAACTTTGCCAAGTTATTGAGCTGGTTTTCATGTACAAAATAGGAGCCACTGCAACCAATATATAGATATGGAACATCAACTCACCTATATTTCTGTTGTGCTGGATATTCTGGAGATGTTTTACTGTCATTTCCAAGATGTCTGCTTTTTCAAATTTTGACTGCTATTTTAAAATGAAATAACAAGAATTATTATCATAAGCCATTTGAAAACTGCTGAAAAATGAAACATAGGTAGAATAAAAAAATATGGGAGCAGAAAAATCTATGCTTACATCAAGCCGAAAGGCTCCAACAACTGTTTCTTTGAGCTGGTCCAAACAATTGTTAATCCTCTCCCTTCGCTTCCTTTCAATCAAAGGTTTTCTTAACTGAAATAATTAAGGGAGAATATTAGGAATGGTTTGCTTGACGTGAATCCTTATTTTCCAAAGCAGATTCTTTCATCACACAATGGAACAACCTACATGGGAACTATCAGACAATCTTTGTGATCACTATTTAAATAATTACAATTCTGGAGCATTTCTATTAGGCACATCCACATATATAGTTTAAGTTTAGATCAATACAGTCAAGCAAACTGATAGAATAATCCTATGTTTATGTATTCACATTAAGTCTTAACTTAAGCATATTTTCAGATCAATATGTATTGGGTTGCTGTGTTGTAATTTCTAATTAATCCTATTATCAATAAAATGGTTTGTGAGTGTAATTAGTGCTAAAGAGAGTTAAGCTATTTTAGTGAAAACCATAATAGGCAGATTATCCAAGCCAACCATACCCTGTGCTTTTCATTTTTCTAACAATATATATTTCAGTTTAACAGTCCATAAATGTAATTCCTTTTATATAGCTCTATTTTTCTACTACATCCTACAGCAAAAGACAAGCTCTTTTATATTGTATATTAAATATATAAGAATATATAAATAGATTGATTCTCCCTCAGCACTTCTTCACATACAGTATTTTTTAGCTTGGGTTCTCTACTTGCTGCATGCACTTTTAGATTTTATTTCTATCAAGGGTCAGAGATGAGCAATTACCTACTAGAAGGAAGTTCTTGGAAAAGCAAAGAAACACATCTAGATAGCACACATATGCAGACAGCCTTTTAACAATCCCACAGAGCCACTGAAAAGTATGGCACCCTTGTTTGATCCCTTCAGAGATGGCAAGTTTCTTACAATGAATTTATTTATAAAATAATGCATACCTTCCTTTCCTCTTTGGTATTAGAAAGTTTCTGTCCACTGCTGGCTAGGGTTGTAGCTGTCATTGTAGTCCTACACGCCTGCCTGAAGGCTTAGGGGAGAAAAGGAAGAAAGCCCTATAGCAACTGGCCTCTCCCGTTGTCTTCTAGAGCATTCTCTGTCATGAGAGCTGCACTCTGCTAGCATTTATAGCTGGATATTAGCATGTGAATGAGGAAATTGCTTAGCTGGTCTCCTTTTCCCACAGAAGGGGTTGAGGCCAGAGGCTTGTGACCATCAATCAAGGCTGACAGGTCACTACTTATCAATGGCCAAATCACACACACAGTGCCTAGAGACCGACAGATGTCCAGCTTCATAAAAGCTTTGCTTAGTAGAAATCTTTTGTTTAAGGAGGCAGAAAACAAGTGCCAGAGATTATTTGGCTCCCTTCTCAATCAGCACGGATTCCCAGGGGATAAAATACCAATGATCTAAACCATAACCAAGTGAGAAATACCTGGGCTGCTGGGATTAATCGATAGCTTTGTATATGGCTCACCTATTTTCTGCTCTTTGGAATGCTTGAGGCAGCATTCATAATCTTCAGGCAGGAACTCTGTGCATTCTTCTTTCACACATTGAACACAAATGTGTATAAATGACAAGTATTAAGCACTTACCACATTTAACTGGAATGTTCTTGAGAACATGGGATTGCACAACTCAAGATCTTGCAAGCTTCCTAATATTTTTCTACAGAATTAATCATCACAAGAAAATATTAGATGAGAAGCTTTGCACTCTGCAAATGTCCATGTGCCCATCAGGAGCAGGGTTGAGGAAGCTACACGATGTCAGTCACTGGACTGGGCAAAGTTCCTTTGTCTACTCATTGACTACAAACAGACTTTCTGATTCATTATAAAAATATAATAGAGAAGTCATTGTTGCCACAGAAAAGGTTTGGGGAACACACCTTGGAATTTTTCTGTAACAATAATAATTTATAAATAGAATGCCCACTCCAAAAGTTAATAGCAGACTTAATAATCAGTGTCATATATCAGTAGCCCTAAAGGTGACTTGAGGATTATCAGTCCTAAGGATGTTTATTTTAGATAAGTTTCATTGTGAACATTCAGTTTCTTCTTAGGAATATCATCATCGTCATCATCATCATCATCATCATCATCATCATCATGAGTTGGAAGGGAGTTTGGAGGTCTTCTAGTCTAATCCCCTGGTCAATATATACTTGCTCTAGGTTTTCTAAAATATAATTGTTTTAAAGTGTATCCAATTTTAAAAAGTTGAAATGCACTATAAAATAATCTTAAAAATAAAACTTACTCTGAAGAAATTGTGGTAAAACAAGAAAGACGTTATTAACTGTTTTCCAATCCATCACAATATATCTTTAATTAACACAACAGTTTTCAGGACTGTGGCAAACCTGTATATGGTTATTTGATTATCAAGGAAAATTAAATGACATTAGTTTCTATCTGCTAACACTATGGCTTCACATGTATAAAAACAGCTTGATTTTCTTGGATAAAAACTTTCTGCAAATCACTTCTCTAACCTATAAGTTTAATATTAACAAGTATCATTCTAACTTAGAAGATTAAGTTTGAAAAAGTCTGTTGGAAAAACAATTTTAAAAAGTAATAAGAAAGAACCAGAAGTGAGACATTGGTCCACATGGTTTTCTACATTAGGGAAGTTTTGTTTTATATGGCAAAAGATCTTTAAGAGCAATTTTTATACATGAAGTTTTTAATTCCTGCACTCTTGATACAATCAATCAATACAAAATTTCAGGAAAACTTTTGTTTTTTAATTTTTTTGCTTCAATACAAACATGTAATACCTAATGCATCCTGGAGGAGGATTGTGCGGCCTTTACATTTTTCTGCTCACTTCATGTTCCTAGATCTAATCAATATTTCTTCAACCTCAGAAAATAGCAGAGAGGAAATTACTCTTGGTGATCCAGGAACTCATCTTGAGTTAACCATATTACATACAGTATATAGAAGAAGAAGAAAGTCATGAAAAAATTCAGACCTGTGGTTTTCAACTTGCTGGAAGATAGATTATGACTTCTGTGCTAGAAGATATACCTTTTGTATTGTCTTTGGTGGCAATAATATTTCCTCAGAATCAGGAACAATGAAAATTATCTTAGATTGAATCACCTCTCTTGAGAAACATGTAGGTTATAATAGTTCAGTGACTTTCCAATCTAAATGAGCTTGGCACTAATTCGAAGTCAGGAAGTCTATGGTGGAAAGATTATTGTGAAAACTTTTTTTTTTTTTTTGCACATGAAATTTGCTGAATGTCTATAGTCAAGTCAATGTTTATTACAGTCAGAGACCAGAAAAAGTTAAAAACAATCAAGGAATATTCAGTTAAAAATTCTATAATAATAAATAAGAGATAAAATCTATATTATAATCACAATTTGGCATCCAGTCAGTTACACATGAATAAGTTACAGCATGGTCTAACCGTACTATAATACTGTATAAACCTTAAACAGTGAGGCCCGTAGGAATGACTATTGAAAGGTACATTCTCTTCTTCCAGGTATTATTCCTGCTCTATGGCAGGGTCCACTTGACAGCAAATCTGTCTCCATTTGGATCACCTCAGGGCGTTTTCAGGGGTGATGCACATGTAAAAATACATTTTTAAAAATATTAAAATAACAGCAATGCAAACTTTAACTTGCACAATTTCAACAGACCACTATTTTGTTTGGCTATTGTAATCTACAACTTTACTTATATTGTTGCTCACAATATATTGGAATCATAACTGGAATAATTTAAATACTATGGACATGGATTTTTAATGTTTTAAAGGTATGGGACTTTTATTTAGAAACACATTTGTGTTGATTATTTATCTTAGTTCCAACAGCTAATCTTGTATTTAAATTATAGAAATAAAAACATACTCCATTATTTCTGCATTCAGGATAGCAACTTTAGGCTACTGAGTTCTTGTGAGATCATGGTGCTATGTGGTACATTTTTTTACCCCTATTTCATTGACTTAGCAGAATTGCTTGGATTCACAAACTATTTTTGACTGACTTGTAAGCCATACTACTAAGCCATGGACCATGGCTCACAACCTATACTAGTTGGACTCTCAAAAAGCAAAACAAAACCAACTGCTAAAAAACTCTCAACTTTGCAAGTTCAGTCCAAACTATAAAATTTCAATATATCTGTTAAGTTAAAAAAAGATGTATCCAATTAAATATCTCCCATGCATTACGTTGTTCCTTATTGCTGGCTATGCTGTATGATTCAAAATATGTTGCTTTTGTAGGCCAGGACATGTTACCCCATATGATTACTATATTTTCATAAAAATATTCATATATTGTAGAAACTACAGAATGATATTAATGTCTTTAGCTGGACATTATTTTTTATTTTGCATTAATGGATAGCATTGAAACTTGGAAACTGGGTAATTATTCTTATTCAGGCAAAGTATGACATTTGTCTGTAACTGAGTGGGAAATAGGAATGCAAATGCAAATATGTCTGCATATTATTCGAGGATCTACTCTGTGACTTGCTTTCTTCTCGTACTTATGTTGCTCAATGCCCAATTTTTAGTAAAAAAAAGAAAAAGCCTTGAATTGGAAAGCTATATTTTTTTCCCCTGGATTTCCTAAAACAGTGGCGAATTCATCTTAACTCTCCTTCCTTTTATTTTTTCAGTATGTGTGAATATTTCACATAATTTTAAAAGAAAGCAGCATTCAACATCTGTTCCTATACTTTTTTTAAGATGAGAAGAAAAGGAGGCTTGAAACTAGAAGATGAACCAAAAAAAAATAGCAGATGTTAGTGAATCCCCTCCAAGGCAGATGTCTAGTTTTTGTTTTTTGTTTTTTTTAAAAAAGCTTTAAAATCAGGTTTAAGAATTCATGGCTCCAACTCTTTCCTGACTTGGGACACGCGACTGCTTGGCTTGTGGAGGGATGTGGGAAAACTCTAATTCACAAAGAACTTATTCAAACCAACCTAATAGCCATGAAAAATCTAATCGCCAGCAGGAAAATGGACAGCAAGTTCACCAAAGAGGCCAGTCGAGAAAATTAACCCTTTCTGATTTGGTATGCAAAATATAGAATTCCCACATATCTTTATTTGACATAGTTGGCAATTCCCACATTACACAGAGGCTTTGTCAAAAGATTCTGTCTACAGTAGTAATCTGTGCAATGTCCAAACTGCTGGGCTAAGGATTCATGATTTACATACGGTTCAAATCCATCAGTTTTTTTTAATTGTATAAAAATAGTATATGTCAGAACACAAGGGAACAGTTATTCGTTATCTTGGGTATAAGGAATATTTTTATAGGAAATCAACCTATGAATCCAATTTAAGGAATTACTAGAGGGACTACAATACTTTCAGTCAATGATTCTTAATTTTCTCCTTATGTTAGGATACATACCCCAAACTTGGATCCCATAAGAGGTTTCATGCCAAGTATGTTTGACCAGTTCAAGCAGCTAATATGTTTATTCCTGTTGACTATGGACTGCCTTTAACTTTAGTTCCATATAGTCAGGACTTATGCAGTACTTTGTGGTTAGTGGGAAAAGTGGGGATAGCAGAAGACAATGAGAAATATCAATGCTTATTGAGAGGAATCCAGTCAAGCAGGCTCTGAGATGAGCAACTTAAGGAAAAAAGCAATGGATGAATGCAACTCCGTCCCTTACTATTTACAATCTACCTGGATCTGCTTTGCCTGCCAACGTTCAGTAATCACTTAAAGAGTGATAAGTGTCTCTCTTTCTCCTTCCATCTCTCTCCCTCTCCCTCCCTCCCTCCACTTGTGTGCGTGCGTGTGTGCGTGTGTGCGTGCGTGCGTGTGTGTGTGTGTGTGTGTTGAACAGAATAATTCTGTTCAGTTTCAGAATTCCTTAGGAGATATTACTTTAAGTGGGATTGAAAAGAGAATTAGTAGATGTGAGAATAGTTTCCCAAAAGCCTGTCAGGGCTTAATAACATTTCAAGCATAGATAAAGTTGGCTATTGACAATGATGAATCCATAGTTTCCTGTTCATACTACACATTAATTCCAAATGGGATGATTAAAAAAATCTACCTATATAAATATGTTTAATGATACATTTACTCTTATCCAGACTCAAACGTCCAGAGCAGTTTTTTCTTGTAACAATCCATGAAGTAGACTAAAATAAAATATCTGTGATTTCATTATATGCTTACTCATATTTAATTTAATTATATTTTATATCATTAAACCTATTCTGATAATACAACACATTTGCCACAAAGGCTGGATTCATACAACCCAGTTAATATGATGTGTACAACCGAGTGGGGTAGTCAATATTCCTTCCACCTCATTTTTAGTTATCTGTTTTTATTGTTATTGTTATTAGAGATATCTATTTTTTACAGTTTTATTATTTTCAATGTTGTAAGTGGCCCAAAATCACCTGTGGCAAGGCAGGTAGCAAATAAATTTAATAAATAATAAATAAATATTCATTTTCTGCATATTTAATCTGCATTTTGTTTCTTTGGCCACATTAAATAAATGATACTAATCTGAAAGTTGGCTTTATCTTAGTATGTTTTTTCAGTGAAACCATCATCATTACTAATTTAGCATTCTGTATTAATTTTGTCATTGGGTCTTACTCAATACATAGTCCATGTATAGTCAAAGCAAACATAGTTTCATGTGATTTGAGAACCCAGTCATTATGGTTTATAACTCAAGAGATAATAATAAGGCATGAACCAGCAAGTTATTTTTAATAATCATGTATATTGGCTTGTGGATGGGGATTAGCAGCAAAGGCGCATAAGAATTTCTACAACTATTCCTATAAGAGAAGAGACAGGTCAGTGAATCATTAAAGCAAAGCAGTGCTCTAAAGCAGGGGTGTCAAAGTCACGTCATCACAATGGCATCACATGACATATCGGGACTTTCCCCCCCTTTACTAAACTGGTCATGGGTGTGGCCAGTGCATGACGCATCGGGCCCATGGGCCGGGCGTTTGACAGTCCTGTTCTAAAGCTTTGTGCAGTCCTAGGAGCTACTTTATAGTTTTGTATTTAGTCATTGAAGTATAGTAATCATTTATATGAACTTTCTATTTAAGCTGCAGCTTTAATTTTTGGAATGGAATTAAATTAAATTTGTGAAATATATCACAAGAAGTAGTAGTACTACTGCAGTATAACAAACAAAACTGCAATAAACAATAAACAAGACTTTCCAAATACAGGGTTGATACTATCACAGGAACATTTGGACAGCTTTTGAAATAACTAAGGGAACTACTATCTGCTTCTATGAGCTAAAATGCAGGTACAATAACTTAACATAGCCATTTCTCAAAATCTGGGCAAACCTCAGATGTATAAGGTCCAAATCTCTACAATAATTCCATTGGCTGGAAATTCTGGGGATTGCTGATGACTTACATGGAATGTCCCCAAGCTGTAAAATGGTATCTCTAAGAGTATCCTGTTACCGCTATGTACTTTGAATTTAATTTTTCCAGCTGCTACATTTTTGGAATAGTCCTTTTAACTAATGTTTCAAACAGTTGTAGATCAGGAAATAAACATCCAGTATCATGATGTTCTATTTACTCCACCTAAATATTTTTTTTAAAAATGCAGTTATACAGAACCAGAAGTATGTCATGCCATTAATAGAAATTCATAAACACAACATGTTTCCATTATGTAAAAGAGAGAATAGTTAAACATGCTATTTTTTAAAAAAAATGTACAGATAAAAAAACATATACTAATCTGGAAAAAAAAATAACATTATTATAATATCCAAGATCTTATACATCTTTTATTTTTACACAGATGCACCTATTTGCTTAATTATATGTCAACCTACTAATTTGAAAATTCTAAATTATATTTTATAAAAATCTTCCAATACACCACATAGGATACAATACACTGTATTTTATGTAATCTAAACAGACAAACCAAACTGGCAGTGAAACACTTTCTGCAATTTCATTACAGATCACAGCCACTGGATCAAACCGGTAGGCTTTGATCCCAAGAAATGACAGGGTTAAGTGGGGAGGCCAACTGCTGGCTAAAGGCAGGTGGTAGGCCTGTATCTGCATAGTGCAAGGTTCATTGTATCTGAATGCAAAAAACCTTTTAGAATAGTAAATGAAACTATAAATCAGTATTTTAAAGAGAGCCAAACTCAGATCCCATCCAGGCAATAAGTTTACACAAAGAGCAAAGGCTTTCTCACAGCCTTAGGAAAACAAGGCAGACTAAGTCTTTGAGCCAGAAAGATTTGAGATGAACAGCCAAATTACATCCGGTTAAAGCTAAACACAAAATCATTAAGGATTTCAGTGGGGAAAAAGGAATATACTATATGATGATAAGCAACCATCCTGCAACTTTGTTTTGTTTGATCTTTTTAAATGTTGATAAGAAAGTGCATAGAGCTCAACTGAAGGATTGGATCATTTGGTCCAGTGCTCTCCTTGCTGATAGTAGGTATCTAGAAGCTTCGTTCCACCTATGGACCTGGAGATAGTTAGGGTCAGAAATTAAATCCCCAATGTTCTGCGTGTATCGAAGGATTTTGCTAATAAGTCATTACTTCCCGCCTTATAGTTGGGTTTGCAGATGGTTACCAGTAATGGCATTTACACATCTTTACAATAGGCTATGTTCTTTGTTCTTTGCACATACTATATTTTGTTTTAAAAAGTTAATAAACTCATTTCACTCTACTGTGAAATTCCTAATAAATTTACTGGTAATCTTAAATATTTTAAAAGAAATAAAAAAACAAAGTAATAAAAGAGTCAAATAAGGCCCAGTTCTTGTATAATAATCCTATGGTCCATAGGAATAGGATATGGATTTCATATACTATAGATATCATGTTCTGAAGTTGGACTATGACTTAGAGGGTGACTACTAACATCAGATTCTTGCTCCTTCCTCTTGGGGCTGCCTTCTTCCAATATTAGTGGAATCTGATACTATACTGAAAAATCATTGAAGTGGGTGGGGTTGAATTGGAGATGCTTTGAATCCAGATTTTACACCCACCCACCCCTCCATTTTTAATCTTTTGTGGGTAGGTGTAGAGCGACAGAACTACACCAGCCTTTAAAATTATCTCAAGATTTCCCTTGAATTTGTTTGCAGTTATATAAATTCTGGTATGTGAATTAGTTAACAAAGCATAATATGTGACCCATTGTGCTGAATATACTTAATGATATACAGCATAGGCAGCTCTTGGCTTACAACCATAATGGAGCCCAAAACTTCTGTTAAGTGAAACATTTGTGAAATGAGTTTTGCCCCTAGCCTAAGTTCTTAGGATATTAAAATCCAAAAGCAGCCTTATGAAATGATCCCAGTAATATGCAGGTAGCCCTCAACCTGCAACAGTTCATTTAGTAACCATTCAAAGTTTCAAGGGCATTGAAAAAAGTCACTTATGACCAGTTTTCACACTTACAACTGTTGTGTTGCAGCATCCCCATGGTCATGTGGTCAAATTTTGGATGCTTGTCAAACTAACTCATATTTTTGAGAGTTGCAGAGTCCTGGGGTCATGTGATCACCTTTTGACAAGTCAATGGAGAAGCCAGATTCACTTAACAAATGTGTTGCTAATTTAACTGCAGTAATTCACTTAACAGCTGTGACAAGAAAGGTCATAAATTCACTTAACAAATGTTTCACTTAGCAACAGAAATTTTGGGCTTAATTGTGGTTGTAAGTCAAGGACTACCTCCACTGGAAGCCTCCCCTAATGACAAAGAACGAATTTGATAAGATCATATGCTAATTACCTGATTGTGAATTTACAACTCTTCTTTTGAGCGGTTCTATAGTAGTTCCAGTCATCAGAGTAATTCTATATAAGAGCAATGTGGTATATTTCAGTGACCAGCCAGCAATTTGTGGCCATATCCCTTATTTTATTTATAAAATGACATTAGAAGTAGGGTGGAAGACATCTTCCCTTGGTCCATGGCCCAACTTCTTAATGAAAGTCATCCAAGTGAAATGTTTTATATCACTTGCAGGTAGTCTTACTAAGATCAAAACTACTGCTTAGTTAACTAATGTAATTTCTTGCTGAAGCTGAACTTTCTTCCATAAGGCTTAGATCTAGCATTACCAAACTCTTTTCTGGAAGGAAGAGGTACCATAGATACTGCTTACAAGTCTATGTTTTCTCCCCAGATACTATTGAGAATGGGCCTTGACTAAGCAAGGGATATGATAGGCAGAAAGACAAGATAGGATTTCTGTAAATGAAGTACTACAGATAGAAGCTGGTTGCACAACCGTCGATCACCAGTACCATTTTAACCTGTTTTAATATTCTCCCTTCAGCTATCCTTGAGGAAGATATAAGAGTACATCATATAATGAAAACTCTGCATATTCAGGGAGGGTATGTTCCCAACATACATTGACATTGATCATGTCATTCCATATGGCCATCTGTAGAAAGATACCTGCAAAGTTCTGATAGCTTCACAATACAAAAATTTTGATGGGTTCAGATAGAGAAAAAATCACATGACAAGTGCATCAGCAAAGTTTTGTTCAGTTGAATGTTGTACACTATATACCATTGTCATAAGGAGTACAACATTTAGTGACCTAAGGATTATTGCATTTAGTATATTACATAGAATGTATTATTCATTTTCAACTTTAAAAAAATGAGTTTTTAATCCAGATTCTGTTAATCCTTTTATAAGGATACAGTATACAATAATCTATGTCAGTAGCCATAATAATCGTTCATTAAAATAATCTAAATTGAATTGGATTATTTTAATGAACTATTATTTGGCTACTGACCTTTTATTAATGAGATACAAACACACACACACACACACACACACACACACACACACACATATACATACATACATACATACATACATACATAAATGTATGGTATTCAGCTTTGTTCAGGTATTTTCCCACGTCATTATACTTGTGCTTTTAAAGTTGTAGTGACGTTTCGCTATGGCTGTGAAAGCCTGACTCACAGATGAACACAATACACAAGCCTGATGATGGCAGATGAGATTCTGCCGAAACGTCGCTACAACTTTAAAAGCACAACTATAATGACGTGGGAAAATACCCGAACAAAGCTGAATACCATACATACAGATACCCACGAAAACTTAAGAAAACAAATACATATATATGTATGTATGTATGTATGTATGTATGTATATATATATATATATATATATATAGAGAGAGAGAGAGAGAGAGAGAGAGAGAGAGAGAGTTAATAAAAGATTTGGAAGTACAGCTAACCAGTTGACCTCTTCCATTTGATAATTTCATTTAGAAAACACTGTTTTCATTAGCATAATGAATATAACAGACTCTGAATGGAAATTTCACCCAGGACCCTAAAGGTCTAAGCACATACTTGACCACATAGCTTGGGATAATTATCAGACTTCTGCCAGCACAACAGTTCTGAATCCCAAATGCTCTTTGTTGTTGTTTGATTGAAGATCTTCAATGAACTATTCTTTTATGGCAGCAAAAGATATGAAGTATAGGTAGCTTAACTCCAATATTTATCAGTAAGATGTTTTGTGCATTCTTTGAAGCAAGCATTCTACTTTAATGACTAACATTCTCTATGGAATACCTATAGAAAATAGAGAATCTTCTCCATTTTGTAGTCTAAGCCCTTTCTACTAGAATTCAACGTATTTCCAATTGGATTTATCTAAACTGTTCCTCCTGACACCAAACTAGATAGGAGATTAAGCATTTATTTGGGGGAAAAAATCCACCATTCTACAGGTTTAGAGCCCAAAATTTGTGAGCCATGAAATCTGGTCTGAACTTATAAACATGTATAACATCTATTGAAACCTGCAACAAGCTCTGTCTACCTATCAAGGGTTGTAATCCAAAAGTGCATGGAATAGATATACACTTTAGGAATGGTTTCAGGAATTTTAAGGAATGAATTGAATGCCTTAAACATTTGCAACCCTTCTGTCCCTTAAAAATCTCAAGTCCATAAAAATGTCCCTACCCCACCTGGAAAAAAAAAGAAGAAATCTAAGCCCTACCACTCTATTTTTTCCTATGCTGGCTTGGTCTGCAGGAATAACTGGATCTTCTTGTTCTGTATAGTTATTAAAGGCAAGAAAGCTCTTTGTCCTTAACAATTCTTTGTATGTGCTTTAATTCTGTTTATCTTTAGTTATTAAACAAGCAAACATAAGGGTGGTATTAATGCTATGATGTTCTATAGATTGATTATGACTCACTTTTAGTTCTTAAGAGCAAGAACATGACAAGAACATGATAAGTAGGGATAATGGAAGATCTCACCCAATGAATCTAGATGACAAAAGTTTATGGAAAGCTATTTCAGATTATGATAACATTACAACATAGCCTTCATTTTCCCCCCTGTACCAAGAGTACATATTTCAGAGGACATAAGTCTGTGAATCATTTGCATGCCACATAAGAAACATGTAGTTGCTAATACTACTCAGTGACAACTGTGTTACAAATTACATAACAAGATACCCCATCCACATCTATATTAGGAGGAGCATAGTTGCAATGTTAGGACCTTGAGGGCAAGTAATTGAAAACAACGCAAGAAAGATTCTGGAGTATTCTTAGATGAAGTATTTGGCAGAAGTATATTTACATTAATGACCAATGTTTTCTTGGAATGTTAGACACTGTAATGCCAGGAAAGAGGATGTAAGAAGAAATGAGAGCAGCAGCCACTACTATATTATGAAAATATTTAACCAAAATCTAGCAATAGCCTGCAAGCATATATGGTATAGAGAGAAATGTCACCCAGAATTAGTCATAGCCTTCAAGATATTACAATTCTCATTAGCCTCAAGTTGTGTAATGGTGAGGAAAGCTGGAATTGTAATTATTCAATATATTGATATCCTGACTTATATTAGCCAAAATATATTCAACACCAGAATTCCATCCCATTAATATCCTTCTAGGCTTCCCATTAATATCCTTCATCTAGGCTAGCAGCTTTAGGAAAGATGACTGAATAAGTTGCATATGACCTTGGGTATGAGTAAATGCCAGCAACTAGAAATTGTTAATGAGATGTAGTACAAGAGAAGAATGAAATGACAGTAGATACTACCTAATTTTAGATATGTCAGTTATACTACCATTACTTTCCCCCCTCAAATCCTTATGCTACAGACTAGCAGTGATATTTATAATTATCTAATAATAAGTGTAATTAGTGAGGGATTAGCAAATACTTTTCATTTATCCATCTGTAGGAGGAGACAACTTTATAGTTTATTGTTAAAAAAAGTTACAGAACATTTATTTCGAATTAAAAATCAGCATGTATTTTTCCAAAACCTTTTCTTTTGCTTTTATTGTTGATTTTTCTCACTCTACTTCCCTTTAATTAGAGAGGATGTGGGAAGTAGATCTACAAAAGCCATGGTTATGTTTAATTTAAAACATCTTGGTTTATTTTGTTCAGAGGTACAGATCAAAACAGAAAATAAAATATTACATTTTAAAGAATACTTTTAAAATGATAATAAGGAAAAAAATTACCTTTTGGTCTCTTACCTTTTTGTCTGGTCTCAGTCTGCAGTCATCCCATGTCCAAGAAGGCCAAACTATATTCCAATTCATTTATTTTTTATATCTCTTTTCAAATTTGCTTTCCATATAGTAATACCGGTGCATATGGATTTCCCCTTATATTAATCTCAGAATAATCTTGTGAAGATCACTGGAATGAAAGACAATCAACCAGACCCAAGAGTTGAATTCTTAAATGGGAATTTAAAACAAGTGGTTCCTACCACTGATTTTAAAGTTAAAGAAACATACTTAGGAGTCACAGCCTTCCCAGATCTCCATTTACCTACGTTTCTGAAAACCATTTACTTAAAATGAACCACACTAATTATAGGTTATTCCAAAGAATAGGATTGGTGCTTAGAACTGTGGCAATGGCTTTGACCTAATACTTACTAGTATTATATTTACGATCATAAAACCTCCCTCCCTATACATTTAAAACACAACAGCCCATTATAAATGTTGTAGTTATGAAGATCTGAGATTCTTGGTCACCCAGTCTTACCTGAAGGGTTGAAATCTTTCATATGTATTTGTCCAGGAACTTCTGCATGCAAACTAGAGGCTCTAACACAAGTCCATCTCCAATATGTGCAGTCTTATAGTTTTATTCCCACTATTGGGTCTGGGAAGGATTAGAATGTGCTTGAAATCAGGGGTCGACAACCTTTTGGACCTCAGGGACCACCAGACTCATAATTTTAGATCCCAGGGACCACTAACTGGTTCTGTGGGCATGGCCTAATTTGTGGGTGTGGCTTGGTGGTCATGTGACTGGCTGGGCATGGCTTGTATGTAAATATTATAAATATTTAAATAAATATTGAATTTTTTATAAAAAAGAGCAACTTTTACCCAAAATCAGGCAAAGTAGGTAGGCAGATTGAGTTGCTCACAGAATCACAGATTCATTCAGAAATCTATCTGCCATTGGCTAGCTCAGTCTGTCACATAAAATTTGCTTGCAAGCAAACTCATAAAATTTGCTAGCAAGCTAACTCACAAAAGTAACTCATAAACACACCATGTATGTAAATACTGAAATTTTTTTATTAAAAAAGCAATTTTTACCCAAAATCGGGCAAAGCAGGAAGATTGAGTTGCTCACAGAATCATTCAGTGATCTATCTATCTGCCATCGGCTAGCTCAGTCTCTTAAATCTGCTTGGCGTGAGTCTGCATTGAATTTGCTTGCAAGCAAACCTTCAGTCCTAAGGGAAGCAGAGCTGAAGATCTAAAGACTAGCTAGGCAGCAAGAAATCCAACCATTTACTGCTTCCTAGCTAATCTAAATCTCCCAGCACAGCAGAACAGATGATGGTTGGAAAAAGGAAAAATAGCAATTTTAGCAGGCAAATTTGCTGGGTAAGGAGTGAGTGGGCAGGAGCGTTTCTGTGGGCCATGTGGGCAGCGCAGCCTTGTGTTTCTGCGCAGCCTGGATTAATTGCTTTGGGAGCGTGCTCTGGGAGTGAGATTTCTCTGTGGCCCATCAAAATTTTCTTAAGCCCCTCCAGTGGGCCGTGGCCCACTGGTTGGCGACTGCTGCTCTATATGATGCATGAACTGTTTCCCAGTTGCCTTCTCCAGAAATACTGCTCTTGTTCCTAGTAAGCAGAAAGTGTCTGTTTCAAGAATTGCCATAGATATTTTTGATTTTACACAACTAGTATTTCCAAGGGCGCATACTTTCCACTAGATTTCACAAGTTCCTGGAAAACTGGTTGGCTATTGGCTGAGTAAGTCACTATGTACATTCTACCCTGCCTGAGATAAATATACCTTTTCTGTGCTCATGACACAACTTCCTTAAACTTCTTGTTTTGAATATGTGCCAATAAATGTGTGTGCCAATACCACATCCTGATTTCTAAAGCTGAATGACATCTCTTCACTTAGCAAACGCCCTTCAGTAGTCAGTTGATTGAATATAGCAGTGCAAAGAACATAATATACTTTGAATTCTCTATGTGTGAATTCACAAGAAACATTTTTTAAATGGCATCAATAATGCAACCTAATTATTAAGAAGTTTTTAAAGAAGTTTATTTTCTTGTTAGGATTGTAACTATGGGACATTTATTAATAAAGGAAATGTCTTAAATTTCTCAGAAGTCATATTGCTTCTCAGTATAATGCAGTTTCAATTAGTACATCAGAACATAGTACATCATTTCCTTTATTAATAAATATTGTCCTGTACTTACAACCCAAACAAAAAAATAAACCTCTTAAAATGCATTGGATTCCTTACTCTTCTTGAACTATACTATTTTTATTGGGGGGAGGGTGCTAGCTTAAAGAATGGAGTACAAGTATGAAGTATTGAGATCCCTGGCTCTTTTTATATATTTTAACACCTTTTAAAGAAAGAGAAAAAATTCAAGAGCTTTTATAATCAATCATATTCGTTCCTTCCCCTTGGGTTTTAGTTTCAAAATGTAGTCCTCCCCCTCCTCCCAGGGTGATACTGCTGGACTAAAAAACTCAGGCGAACAGGTGTCTCAGGAGTAAGAAAAACAATTTCTTCAGCAGGGAAGATAATTAGCTTGCCTTAGAGGATTATGGATTCTCTGGCTGGCAATACACGGGAGTCAAAACTCTACTTGAAAACCAACAAAATGCAATTTTGATTTAATATGTTGCATGAGTACACTATTTATAATTTGGTACCTATGATTTGTGAATCAGTGTACTACGTAGAGAGACCTAATTGTGACTTAGGGAACAAACAGTAGCTAAGCACTAGTGGATTAGTATAAAACGAAGGGACTTCTTTTACGTATTTTACCACAGAGATTAAAAATGCTTAGCAGTAGCTTTTCTGTATGAATAGGGTCAGATTAAATGATCTCTGAATTCCCTATCAACTCAATTATTGTGAACTTGTGTTTAAGATGCCATGACCTTCTTCATATATTGAATGCATTGCTTTTTCAGGTTTAGAACCAATCCTATCAACAATGACTTCCTTCTGCCTCATGGCTCCATTGTTTCCAATTCTAGCATAGAGTCTGTTCATTGAAAGAGCCATTGGAGACTCTAAAAGGAAATGATTCCCTTGAATTGCTAACTGTTGCTGGGTGTGGGGGGATTATATCTTGTGTGCAGAAGCTTCTCTGGGAGAAATGATGCAGCTTGTGCCAGTGGTACAAACACAACTGGTTTAAAACAACAGAACAGCATGTGAGATGTGAGAAAGCCCTGGATTCTCGTTAGCCCCACAGAAGCAAAAGAAGTGGCAAAATAGCAAGTGTGCCTTGACTTTTGATAAGCTTCACAATGCAGTTTTGTGTTGTGGCTTTCTTCTCAATGAATCTTTTGTTGCCACTTTTGTCGCTATTTTTTTCTTCGTTAAAATATTACATGCACGTTTATAAGCTGAAGTCAAAAGTTTTAGAGATTTTAAAAAAAAAAAAAACCCAAAGGCAACTGTCCAGTAATATAATTCAGTTTCATACTTGGACCCTTCTCTTTTGCTACTCTGCATCTCTTCATTCCTTCCTTTATACGCCTTCTCCTCCTCCACGTTTTGTCTTCCTTTGGACTAACCACAAAAGCTCCCTCCCTTTTTCTTTTTCCTTTGAAACCTCAGAGGAATTCGCATACATTTGCATTGCATTATCTCCATTGGTCTGCTTTTTGCATCTTTCTTTTCCATATAGTTTGAGGTGGGATTTCTCTTTTTCCTATTTTCTTGGAGTGGTGAATACAATAGTAGCACTCTAAGACTTCAGCTGGTTGCCAAGCATTACTGAAATAAACTTGTCCATCAACAACATGAGGAAAAATGAATCTGAGGACTGAGGCAAATCATTAAACTACAGATGTCTATAAAGTTAAATGGCACATATCTTAGAGCTTTAATGACCACAACACATCATTTCTTAGGAGACAATACTCTGAGATGTTACAATTATTCCATGATACTATGTATAGATTTATTATAACTTTGCTATAGCTGTTTACTAAAAATCCATGTGTAGATCTACTAATTCTGTGGCAAAGCCAAGTCACTATTTTTGGTAAAGCCACCAACATGACATCCCACTTGTTTACAACAGGAGGTCCTAAATCTGGGTGATAGACAAACCTAGTGAACTGTTTTCAATCAGATCACAAAGAGTCAGAAATGACAGAGAGAAAAAGTATCTACTATGTGGTTATGGTTAGAATGCAACATAGGACCCCTGCAAAGGAAAAATTATGCTTGAGATGGGACTGCATTTTGAAAGATTGCATTTCTAGTATCCTGCCTTTCTTGTAGGAACACAATGCAGTACTCATTAAGGAGTGGAATTATTTCATGCTATTTCTGTAGCATCAGTCTAGAAAAATAGATTGGAACAAAATAGTGAGTT